GAGCATTACAATACACATTCAAATGTTAAAGACCCCGAGGAATTCTGTAGAACAGAAGGCAGTTAAACCCCATTTAATCCAGCATTTCCCAAACCATTTCATCATAGAATCATTTTTGCCGGGAATATCCATCTATATTTCTTGCAATATTAGTATTTAATGTAAAATAGTAGGGAAAATATTGCTCTAAGCAATTTCTAAATAAGGATGGGGGACAAATTTAACTTTTGAGTATCCAGTGAGTACCACATACACATTTGAAGTAGATTTTTAAAAATCCAGGCTCCATTAATAAGGGGGAAGAAGCCCAAGTACCTCTCTTAAGGAACAGACTTAAAAATTCAACTTCACAATGATGAAATATGGATAGGTTTACCCTACGTGTTATGGTAACTGGCATGTGCATGATCTATACTTTCTCTCTTATCTTTCTAAACAAAGGGTAATGGCTAACTCCTGCTTTACATTCTCAAAACTTTATGCTACATTTTACTCTATTTTAATTACATACCACTAGAACTTGTGGCCTATGATTTCACTCTCATTTTTTTCAACTATCATTTTAGTATAGGCAGAATTGAGTATTTGTATATAATAAATATTTTATTCTACATTGTACTACCAGACTAAGGACTTAATGACAATCTTTTTTACCTTAACACTTAATGTATTGAATTTATGTAGATGCCTAATAAATGTTCATTTATGGCTATGCAATATTCTACAGGTTCTTAGCCTAACTTCAAGAATTATTAGAAGAAAGTTTGCATTTACTTAAACTTAATTTCATTCTATACAAATGGGTAGAGTTATCAAGTAGGAAAACAAATTGAAAGAGAAAACCTGAAACAAATTAGGAAATATTTGGGACAGGAGAAATTCAAGCTATGATTGGAAAATGGGGAGAAATAAAAAAATGAATTAAAAGAATATTTTTCAATATTGTATATTTTGATGCTTTTTACTTACATTTTTAGTAAAAATTTATACAAACCCCCAGTAGATTTAATTCAGATAGTATATTGATAAGATAATTGACATAACATTGATGATTAAAAAGTTGATTGGGGGAAACTTCTGGTCAAAACGGTGGCATAGATAAACAGGATACTCAAATCCTCCCACAACCACATCAAAAATACAATTAAACTACAGAACAACCATCAGTCAGAACTGCCTGAAATCTAGCTAAATGGAAGTCCTACAACTAAGGATATAAAGAAGTCACATTGAAACTTCTTGGTAAGAGGGGCAAAGACGTGGAAAAGGTTGGTCCCACACCCACATGTGGCAGATACAAATTGAGTTGTATCAGCTGCAAAGGTCCCTCTGAGGAGTGAGAGGTCCCAGAGTTACAACAGGCACCCCCAGCCCAGGTTCCATACCAGGAAGAGAAGTTCCCATAACTTCTGGCTGTGAAAATCAGTGGAGATTGGGGCTGAGTGAGATGGAGGACTTCTAAGGACCCAGGCAGTTCCTCTCAAAGGGCCCACACAGGCTTACTCAGACTCACTTGCGACTCCCTCCCTCTGAGCTCCAGCACTGGGCAGCAGCTCAAAAGGCACCAGGGACATACAGGAGGATCTTAATTGTCTGGCATCAGGGTGAGAGCTGGGGGGACAGCTTTCTTCCAGACGGAAGTGCTGGCAGAGGCCACTGTTCATTTTCTTTGCCCTTCGCCCCAACAGAGCCAGCAGGCAGATACCGTATCTGAGACTCCCTCAACCTGCCTATCACTGTTTGCTCCACCCTGGTGATTCCCTGAGACTGCCACCCCACCCAACTTGCAGGCCCACCCAACCTATTTCCAGTGGCTTTTCCATGCGAATGATCTGTTTTGACTCATGCTTCAGACCTTTCTAAAATCTCTCAAGTAATATCTGACCTCAGTATTCCCTGTACCTCTTGCTAAGTGGCCCCAGGCACAACACTAGTGGAAGCCAGGCCTGATTCACAGCTTGGCCTCTTCTGGTCACCTCCAAGTCCTTCACAAGTAGTGGTCATCTGCAGATCACTTTGGAGCTCATGCCAGTGGCTCTGGGCAGAACATAGGTGGTGGCTGACATTGACTTGCCTCTTCTAGGAGGCCCCAGACCCAGCCAACCCAGTGTACAGCTTCAGACAATGTTAAAGCACCACCCAACCACCTCCACAAATAATACACTCAAGGGGAAGACCCAGTAGGGACCAGAGCCCCACTGAATTAAGTCCTGCTCTGTGGAGTGGGCCCCTGCACATCTGATTCTCCATGGTGGTTGCAGACAGTCCTTGCAGCCAATTTATCTGGGGTAAACATCTCCCACTGATGTGCCAACAGCATTCAAGGCTCAACTACAACAGGAAGATTTACTCAGCCCATTCCAGTGGGGGCATGCACCTGGAGTGCCCAACTCAGGTGAACAGGGTGGGCGTGCCACTGGATCCTACAGAACATCTACTACATTATACCACTCTACCAAGCCCAAGAGACATATTGGCTCTACCTAATATGCAGAAGCAAACACAGGGAGGCTGCCAAAATGAGGAGACAAATAAACATGTCCAAATGAATGAACAGAACAAAACTCTGGAAGAACTAAATACAATGGACTCAAGAAACCTACTAGATGTAGAGTCAAAACACTCATTCTATTATGCTCAAATGAATTTAGGAGAAGAGTAGATAGAACTTCAACAGCAAAAAATAATATAGAAAACATAAAAGGACCATTTAGAAATGAAGAATACACTAACTAAAGTGAAGAATAATTTACAGGGAATCACAGTAGAGTAGATGAAGCCAAGAATAAAAAGAGCAATTTGTAATATAAGGAAGCAACAAACAAACAAACAACCCAAGCAAACAAACAAAAAAACCCCAATCAGAACAGCAGAAAGAAAAATCCAAAAAAAATGAAGACAGTGTAAGGAGCCTCTGGGACAACTTCAAGTTTACCAACATTCACATCATGTGGGTGCCAGAAGGAGTAGAGAGAAAGCAAGAAGTTAGAAACCTATTTAAAAAATAGTGATGGAAATCTTCTCTAATCTGGTGAAAGGAATAAACACACAAGCCCAGGAAGCACAGAGAGTCCCAAGCAAAATGAACCCAAAAAGGCCCACACCAAGACATATCATAATTAAAATGCAAAAGATTAACAACAGAGAGAATCTTAAGAAGCAGTAAGAGAAATGTTAGTTACCTTCAAAGGAACTCCCATAAGACTGCCGATTTCTCAACAGAAGCTTTACAGGCCAGAAGAGTTAACAAGAAATATTCAAAGTAATGAAAAGCAAGAACCTACAACCAAGATTACTCTACCTTGCAAAGCTATCATTAAGAATTGAAAGACATATAGCCCTGGCTGGTGTGGTTCAGTGGGCTGAGTGCTGGCCTGCAGATCAAAGAGTCACTGGTTTGATTCCCAGTCAGGGCACATGCCTGGGTTGCAAGCCAGGTCCCCAGTAGGGGGTGCACAAGAGGCAACTACACATTGGTGTTTCTCTCCCTCTCTTTCTCCCTCCCTTCTCCTCTTAAAAAAAGAATTGGAAGAGCTTCCAATTCTTTAATATAAAGAGCTTCCCAGAAAAGAAAAGGTTAAAGGAGTTCATCATCACCAAATCAGTATTACATGAAATGTTAAAGGGTCATCACCACCAAGTCAGTATCACATAAAATGTGAAGAAGAAAAAGGAGAAGGAGGGAGAGAGGGAGAAGGAGGGAGAAGAAAAGAAAAAAAAAGATAAAAATATGAATAATAAAATGTCAATAAATACATATCTATCAACAAATCTAAAAAACAAAATGAACAAGCAGAACAGAAAAAGGCTCATAGATAGAGAGAACATTTTGTTGGCTGCCAGATGGGAGGGAGTTATGGGGTTGGATGGAAAAAAGTAAAGGAATTAAGAAGTACACATTGGTAGTAGTAGAATAATCATGGGGATGGAATTACAGCATAGGGAATATAATCAATAATATTCTAATATCTATGTGTGGTGTCAGATGGGTATGAGATTCATTGGAATGATCACTTAGTATGTTATATAATGTCTAATCATTGGGGTGTACACTTGAAACTAATATAATATTTTATGCTAACTCTAATTGAACAATCAAAAATGATTTTTAAAACAAGTTGACTGAGCTTTTTTAAAAAAGGCCCAAAAGTTAGCCATTGAAAAGCCACTAGTCACTACTTAAAAAAACAAACTGCACACAGTATAATGTGGCATTTTAAAAATTGAAGTACACCAAATAAAAGAAATATTTTTTAAAGGCTCAAGCAAATAGAGGAATCTGGAAACACTTTTCTGTTCAAGCCAGCTGAAGAAAAGAACAGAGGAAAATCATAAAATAAAGAGCATTTCTTTTCAGTATGCCTCTTTCTTTTATGTAGTTTAAAGTCCAGTGCAGTTTGCAAAAAGCTGATTCATAAAGTAGAAAGATAGAAAAAGAAGCTGTTGGCATTTCTGATTTTATTGAATAACTGCAAAACTGGCTGTGAAAGGGAAGAAAAAACTCAAGGAAATGGGTAATTGAAAGACGTGACAAGACAGTTATTAAAAAGTAGATGAAGTGGGTGTGGAGTCAAATTTAAGGCCTCTCATTTTAGAGAAATTGGGTGGAGAAAATTATCTCAAGAGGTTGCCAAACATATGGCATGCTGAAAAATCTTGGATTTCTCTGAAGATGAGCTTGTCTCAGATGAAGACTTGAGTAGAGAAAGGAGTAGAGAATAAGCAGATTGTCTCATCCTCTCCATTTCTGCTAAGGAGAGGTGGAGGTATGGATTATTTGTGGAAAACTTTCAATGATGAAATTTTAAAACATGTTTAGACTTTTAGAACTGAACCATAGAAAATATACATTGGCTACCCACCCTGAGGCGATGTTGGACATAAAAGTGTTTGTGGCACTAGAACTCCTTGGAGGTACAGTTGGTTCTCAATGAAGCAGGAGATGTATAAGATGAGTCTGGAGCATCTTGTAGCTCCAGAGAGTAAGCAAGTGTTCAACAGTGCTCACTTCAACAACACGGATACTAAAATTGGATCAATATAGAGAAGATTAGCATGGCCCCTGCACATGGATGACATGCAGATTCAGGAAGCATTCCATATTTTTAAGCATTAAGCTAAATGAAATAAGCCAGGCAGTGAGGGACAAATATCATATGATCTCACACCTTTAACTAGAACCTAATCAACAAAAGAAAAAAGCAAGCAAAGTATAACCAGAGACATTGAAATTAAGAACAATCTGACAGTAACCAGAGGGGAGGAAGAGGGGATAATGGGGGGAGGGGGAAAGGGTTTTCAGGAACAACTATAAAGGACACATGGACAAAACCAAGGATGGGTGGAAGCAAGGGAGGGAGGAAAGTTTGGCTGGGGTTGTTGGGGAGTGGTGGGAAGTAAACGCAGACAACTGTAATTGAACAACAATAAAATAATTTTTTAAAAAAGAAAGTGTTCAACACACACACACACACAGTGATGGAGATATGTCAAAGGAACATGGGAGTCAACTGAAAAAGCTCCAAAAGGTCACAGTTGGAACATAATTTTAAGCAACAAAATTAAAAAAAATTATATTGGACTCTAACCCAAAGTATAAAATAAATATCCATGAGTAAATAAATGATTGAATAAATAAAGAAATGAGCAAGAATAGAGAATCTCCTATGCAGAAGATTCCAAACAAATTATGTAGATAGATATTCCACTCTGGAGGGCATGAGCATAGATTCCAATGTGTTAAGTGTGGGCTGCACATAGTGACTTTCTTCCAAATAGTACCAGATGGAAATGGGCAACAGAGTAACTTTATAGTGGAGAATCCTCAGCCCGGTGGTCAGGTCAACATCAATGTTAATAATAATGTTGATAGTCTGTACCTTTGACGTGATGTGATAAAAATGGCTCTTGACCTGAGTGACCTTCCTCTAAAATCCAATAAATCCAGTATAATCACGAGAAAAACATTAGATAAATTCCAACTGAGAGACATTCTATAAAATATTTAACCAGTATTCACCAAAACTTTCAAAGTCATCAAAAACAAGGAAAATCTAAGAAACAGCCACAGCCAAGAGGAGCTTAAGGATACATGGTTACTAAATACGCTGTAACATCCTGTGTGGAATCCTGGAACAGAAAAAGGGCATTAGTTAAAAGCTAAGGAGAATCGAATAAAGTGTGAACTTTAGTTAATAATATTGTATCAACTCTAGTTTTTTAATTGTAACAAATATACCACACTAATGCTAATAACAGAGGAAATTGATTGAGGAGTATATAATTCCTTATGCTGTCTTCACACCTTTTCTGTTAGCTTAAAACTATTCTAAAATAAAGTTAAACATTAAAAAAGTATTTGTGTTGAATGCTGGTACCTGAAGATGCTGGCTAAAAAATTGTAACAGATATGTGATATTTGGTAGTCAAGCTTTGTGATGTGAAACTGTTTCCTGTAAGTTGATTTGCTTTTTCAAGTAGTTAAAACACTTTTATGTAAATTCAGCAAAACTAGATCCCCCCCACAAAAAAAGGTAAAGAAAAGGTAGTTGGGTCCACAGGTGCAAAAAAACTACTATGTAATTTTATTTCTAAAAAGTTCAAAACATGAAATTTATGGAACATTAATGGGAATTAAAAAACTAATGTTAGAAGGTGAAATGGTAATTATCTCTGGGGGCTGACTGGGAGGCGCTTCGGGGCTGTTTTGGGAAGCACATGCTTCTTTCCTTGATCTGGGTGGTAGTTGCTGCACTGTGTTTATTCACTTGGTGAGAATTCATTGGGCTGTAAGCTTTTGCATGCTGATTTTCTTTCTGACATTTATTTAATGGACTGTAAATGATTTCTGAATAATAAACACTTTTCACAGTGGGAGACATAGTAGTACTGTGTTTTGTTAGACATGTATGTTCTGTATTTACTTATTCACTTATTTCACAAGTATTTATTAAACACCTAGGACTGACTTGTCTCTAATACCATAGATTATATGGGAAATAGACCTATGAACAAACAATAATTTTTAATGATAATTGCTATAATGGTTATGTCTGCAAATATAATGGGGTCCTAGAGATGTTCTGTGAGGAGGGACACACAAGCTATACACGATGAAAGAGTACACATTTGCCTGAAAGGAAGTGGCAAATGGGGAACAAGGTGTGATGAGGAGAGAATTCTAGACAGAGGCAATATCCTGACAAAGTCACAAAGGCAGGATGGGTTTCGGAAAACTCTAATTGTTTGGGAGTGTGATGTAAAGTGGAAGGAGCTGAGAGTTATTGGCTAAATATCTGTGCTCCACCCCAGTTCAAAAGTTGAAGTTCTAACCCCCAATGTGATGGTATTAGGAGACGGGCCTTTGGGAGGTAGTTAGGTTTAAACGGGGTCACGAGGGTCAGATCCTTAGGTTGGGATTAGTGCCCTTCTAAGAGGAGACCAGTGAGCACTCTCTCTCGGCACCATGTGAGGACAAAGTAAGAAGACAGGTGTCTGCAAGCCAGGAAGAGGGCCCTCACCAGACACCAAACCTGTCTGCCCCTTGATATTGGACTTCACAGCCTCCAGAACTGTGCGAAATAAATATTTGTTGCTAAAGTCACCCAGTCTATCGAATTTTATAATAGCCCTCAGAACTGACTAAGACACTGAGGCAGAAGAGGAAGAGAGGAGCCAGGTCTGACAGGCCATGTGTATCATACAGAAGGAAAGACTTTATCCAGGAGATGATGAGTTTAGGCAGTCAATAATATTATAAGAAATATTATTAGAAAGGTAATTCCAAGGCACTGTAGGGGAATACTTTGAGTGGGCATAGCTCAAATCAGAAAGCCAAGAAAGAAGCTCCCACAAGAGTACAGGAGAGACTTATGGACAGGGAGCAGCAGACAGAGAGGTTCAAGATGTAGAGTTGTCATGTCATAGTGATTGGTCAGATAAGGGGGGGAAACAGGTGGGAGCCCAAGATGTCGGCGATGCTGCCATTAATGAGGATAGAGAACTCTGACGGAAAGGTGGGAATGTGGGGGAAAATGAGTTCTATCTGGGACATGTTGAATTTGGGACATACAGGTAGGGACATTTAGCAGGTAGCTGGAGGTAATGAGACTGGGGCCCAAAAGAATGGTCTGGGCTGCAAGAGTTCTGCAGTGGATATAGAGTTAGCAATTACAACTAAGGAAAGTCTGAGTTTACTTATGAAGAGTAAGTAAGTGTGAAAATCATTATGGATGAAGGTGTGTAAATAAAAGAATTCAAGTGTTAGAAAGTTCTTAGAAAATTACTGAAATACTTCACCTTGCATGGGTCCAAATTTCTTAAGAAGGAAAGTGTTCAAGTGTGGACGTGTGGGGTGGCCAGGAGTCTGAAGGTCCTAGTGAGTTGGAATTATGGGACTCGGAGAAATGGGTGGGTGAGAAAGTGGGGAGAGTGTGAATTTGTGATAAGAGGGCATGTTATCGGAGTTTAAGATTTTCAGCCTGGGTTAGTTTGAGTTATAAATAGAATGTGAGTCTTATGAGGGCAGGAGTATTTACTTCTATATCTGCACTAGGTAGTATGAATATGACAGATGAGAGGTGCTCAGCAAGTATTTTTGAATAAATGAATGGAACATTTCTGAAATATACTGAAGGAGAAGTTAATGAGTTGGATAGGCCAAGGAAGTCTGTTGAAATTGTTAGAAAACTTGAGTAGGTGACTTTGATTTGTGCTTAGGAGTACCTGTCTCATACCTTCCCTTGTGGCAGATAAATTAATAGGTATATTCAGGAGGTTTCTATTTCTGGAGATATGATCAATTCAGAAAACATTCTTTATCACTTTCTACTTTAGAGAAAATATGTTTTTATAATGTACGAATGTCTGCTTGACACATTTTGTTTTGAGGACTTCACCAGACTACCATGTAAAAATGTTTGGTATAAAATATTTAAAATAACCTATAATGTAGTCTACCTAAATGTTTAACTTGAAAATAGCCTTTAGTTCTATTTTTAACGTCATAGGAAACACAAAGACTAGAAGAACAAGATAAATGACACCATGAAGAAGGAAGCAACACACCTAGAAGATGGGTCATTCTGGACAATTGTCCCAGTTTATTCAAGTCAATGAGGTTTCAAATTTTACAAAAAGGAGACTCTCCCCTAGCTTCTGATAGTTTGCTGGCATCGGCCCAACCTCTGTCTTCTGTTGGCATGGTGTTCTCCCTGTGTGTGTATCTGTGTCCAAATTTTCCTCCCTAAAAGGACAACTGTCATAATGGATTAGGGTTCCAGCCTAGTTTGGTATTACCTTAAGTAGTTACATTTGCAGTGACCCTATTTCCAAAAAAGGTCATATTGTGAGGTATTGGGGGTTAGAATTTCAACACATGATGTTTTGGGGGAAGGATACAATTCAACCCAGGACACTTCTCAAGAGAGGAGTCCTCTCATTTCAAAGCATGTAAACTTTCCTGCACAAGGGAATGAAGGCTACAGTCTATAAGCTGTTTTCTCTCTCATGATCAAATCAAAATACTGTCCTTAACTGAGAATAAGTAATGGGAAAAGGATAGTCTCTTTAAGAAAGGTGCTTGGAAAACTGGAAAGCTCAATGCAAAGAAATAAAACTAGAACTCTATCTTGCACAATACACAAAAATCAACCAACAATGGATTAAAGCCCTAAACAAAAGACCTGAAGCCATAAAACTCATGGAGGAAAACGTAAGGGTCAGGTCCCTTGATGTGGTATTGGCAATAATTTTCTTGATTTGACACCAAAATCAAAAGCAACAAAGGCAAAACTAAACAAGTAGGGCCATATCAAAAAGTTCTGTACATCAAAAAAAAAGTTCTGTACATCAAAGGAAACCATTGACGAAATAAAAAGGCAAATTGCAGAATGAGTAAAAATATTTGCAAATCATGTACTTGATAGAGTTTAAGTATAAAATATATAAAGAATTTATACAACTCAATAGAAAAAATATGATTAAAAATGAGCAGAGGAACTAAAAAGACATTTTTCTAAAGACTGCATACCAGTTGATGGCCAACAGTTACATGAAAAGATGCTCAGCATCGTTCATCACAGTGAGGGACGACCTCACATCTGTTAG